TAAAATGATTGGCTCATGTAACTGTCCGATTACAGGTGTCCGATTACAGCCAACTGTCCGATTACACTGTCCGATTACAACTTTGCAGATTAATTAGAGGAAAATACTGCAGTTTATGTACCAATCACATTTGAGGAAATTGTAATTGTTATGATTAATGTTGATATCACTACAACGGGGTGGCTAAATTGACATTACTGCAACGGGGTTGCTAAATGACCGTATCCTGGTTAAAATCAGCGTTTATTATGTAAACTAGAGCACAGAACAAAGCACCCTGCAAGCAGAGCCTTTTCTTACGGTACATATGCCTTGTACCGAGACCTATCCGCTCAAAAAAGCGATAAAAGAGACTCTGTTTGCAGGGTGAGAACAAAGTTTTCTCTGAAAAAAATCGTATCGTACCTTTCCTATATCGATAAATAACATTGTGATAATTTTTTGCCAATTCACGGCCCAAAAGCCGTTAAGTCGAATCTTCCTCTGAAGTCGTCAGGAAGTTTCGGAAATCTCCCTAAAAAATCATAATTGTTCCGTATGACATTCGCGAAAAAGCTATCTCCTCGCCGGAGAGTAAAATTCTTGAAAATGAAAATTTGCCGAAAACTGTTCGGCTATTGAAGACCGACTTGTCGGTAAGTCTAATTTGACAGATTTGAGATGCGGGAAGCCAGCACAAGCCATGTTTTTCCCCTAGGAGTTCATAGAGTATAAACAACGAGAAAGATGTAGTATCATCCTCTTCCAGCTTGTCTAGAGGAGGGGCCAATCCGTTCAGCGAATAATTTTTCAGTCAGCCGGTACTTTTCGATTTCCAGTCCCCTTCCGGCTTTCAGTCCAGCTTTACTTTCGATCGCCTAGCTGGTATCAAAGGCTAGTTTTTACTTAAACATACCGCCGCTTCAACGGCAAAGACATACACTAGCTATAGAACCACTGGACTGTAGATATAAAATTTTTATGAGGATCCTTTGCACTCCGCATAAATCACTCTTAGAGCGCGGAAAATCCTTTCAATTTTTGTTAATTTTTATAAAGCCCTGAAACTGAGTACATTTTTCATACATTTTGCTTTAATACTTGATATTGCAATTATTGTAAGCGATTACTGAAATAGACAGATTTTGTTTGCGACTGAGTCAAGAATATTGCATTCACAGCGTTGAATTTATTGTTCTTTTGTTTCCACTTGTTCGGGAACATTCCTTGATCCCGCTGACTTTTTGTTATTTTTACCGCATTACAATTCGCCTTGTTAATACGCAAGTTAATCCTAAACCTTAGGAAAATATTACTACAGCCAAGTCAAAGATATCATCCTAGTCAAACGATTTTAGTCAGGAAATCAACCTGAAATCTTGTTGCGCGTGATTGCAATACAGATTCTCAACAGTGTTCACCATGGCAACGCTGTTTGGTAGTCATGCGTGCTTTGGTTTTGGCGAAGTTTGGGAATTTTCACTGTTTGTGATAGCGTTAAGGAAATCACACCATCCATTTTTGCTACGATCTGGGTTCTTTCACTTCCAACGTATTGTTAGAAGGAATTTAAACATCTTCTGCGATCGGCGAACACCTACGAAGGGAAAATGCTCGTCGATTTGAACGCCCTGCGTCACAAACGGTTCACACTTGTAGATTTGACGCTCTAGCTATTGGCTACCAGCTGGTGCTAAAGAACTTTAATCATAGCGGCTATGCAGTCCTTACAGACCATGGCAAAGGCTCCGACACAACCTGCCAACCTTCCTCCTCTCCAAGATCTTCCTTCGTGGTCTAGAAACACTTTGGGAAGGAGAAAACAGCCGCGTCCAATAATTCGTGACCGCTTACAACCTATAAAATCGATTAGAGAGGAAATGGACGAAGGCGCGGACGAGAAATCGAATGAGAAGTCAAATTTCTCGGGAAGGATTGTTTCTGCCCCATCTAGAGGACATTTACTTGATCAGAGTCATAGGATTGATAACGTAGAGAAAAGAATAGACTATCTACGTACTCAACATGCAGAAACATTGTCCAATTTGCATAGCGAAATAGAACGATTAAAAGCTGAAAACAAAGGTGAGCGAGTTACAGTGTTCTCGTTCCACTGGATCGAGAAACTAAGATCAATCTTAGAAAAGCCATCTACGACATTTTCCACGGTTCCCGAAAAATTCTTTAATTACAGATCAGGTTAAATGTTTTGATCTTGCCCTTGCGAAATCAGTATGGTTTGATTTTGTTTTTCAGAACTGAATTTCAAACTGGTCATGGCACGAACAGGAGTTAATCTTCCAAAAGGTTTGTTGTTTTGAAAGCGGAAATACCTTTGGATGTTTTCTCGCCGTTGTGCGTTATGATTGTAATGATCGTGTATAAAACGGGTGCGAAAATGAGGTATTCTTTCTCAGTTAAGCTTATGTCGTTTACATCATGGTTCTATCTACAATTAACTCATTATTATTGTGAATTTTTTTCTCTTATTCGAGTCCAAATGTAGGGAAAGTTTTGTCAGTAGATACCTACTCAAAGCGAGTTTCTATTAACATACATCCTGTAAGCTAAAACTCAGCCGGATTGGCATTGCTGCACATCAATTCTGATGTCAACGAGACTAAGCAATGGTGGAGTACATCTTGATCTTCGACTTTTCTTCGTTCATATACTGTACTAGGACTTCTTGTTATTCTCTCTGATCTGACATACGTGAGGAACTTAGCAACAGTAGTAATTGTTTGCAAGCCACGGGGTCAAAGAGTGGTCATAATTGATTGCATTATCACTTCACAACAAGAATGACCAATTCAAGGGGTGCTGTGTAAATAACATACTGTTTTTCATGTGTTTTAGCACTGTAGTTGAAAGTAACATGGGATGATTGATGAATATGAACTAAGAGTGGACTAATAAAGAATTCATTAAGATTTCAAATCATATTTCAAGTTAATGGATTCATATTTGGTGGATGATATGTGTTGAAAATTTTTTTCCTATTTTTTTAAACCGATTAGTGAGATTAACCTTTATTCTAGGCTAGTATATTCCATATATTATTGTTTGCCTCCCGCAGTCAGAATATGTTGATGTTGACAATTGAAGGCTGGATAACTCTATCCACCCAATAAATCGCTATCCAGTGGATTAAGTGTTGACAAAACAAACCATGCTATCTGCTGGATATCAATTTATCCGGTGGATAGCGTTATATACACCTTTTGAACAACCGGGCCTGGTGCATATGGCATGATGTTGTCTATGGTATGATTGGGAGAGCAACTCCTAACTTCTATCTTCTATTGTTGACAGATGATGGAACATCTCCTAGTCCAGAAGAAAGTAAATTGTTACAATCTTCTAGCCCAGGTGAGTTGTCATTTAGCATATTTTAATGTTTTATAGAGTCCTAAAGTGATGACATCACAAAAATAAAATTTTTAAAATTGTGGGATATGATGTCACATTCTTTTAGAGGATCCTAAAAGATGCCCTCATCCCAAAAATTAGCTCAGAATTGCAATTCCTGATAGAGATATAAGGGATCAAAGTTTGATAGCATCCCATACAAACCCTTCAAAATTTGTTTCAGTTCCTTCAGTTTAGAACTGACTCAAAATTAGAGAGATTTATAGGGGGCAGTACCAAATTTTCATCCCTTATATTTCGGTTGGGAATTACGATTAGGAGGTAATTTTTGGCAAGGTGCCAAATCCCATAATTTCTCCAATTTATTTTTTTGTGATGTCACACTTAAGGACTCTATTTTATCATTATTCTATGATGCTTGTTTATAGTGTCCTTAATTTCCGTTGTTATTGCAGATGAGACAGTTAAAGATGATACCTTAGATGGACATCAAAATAGTGAGGAGGCAAAGAAAGAGGGGACAGAACCTACCCAGTGGCCAGTTAAAGAATCTAGTAAAAGCACTGCTCAAGCTTCAAGCTCAAGTGAAAAGAGAAACAAAAGGTTTTTGACTATAATTTATTTATTCTGTCAAATTACTCAAATTCCAATCCTTTTTCTTATACAGTCGAACCTCCAGTTTCGACCACCTGTCGTAGGCGACCACCTCACCTCAGCAACCAGTTTTCCAAAATACCAAACGTTTCCAAGTCAAATCACTATTAATATCTCTTGTAAGCGATCACCTCTCTTAAGTGACTGTGACCACTTTTAGAGCTAAGAGTTTGAAATTTCCTTTTGTTTTTAACCACCCGTAAATGACCACTTGACAGATAATACGAGAGAAAATTGGATGATAAGGGTGTTGTAACTTTATCATGTTCCTGGGTAGGTAGGTAGGTAAAACTTTATTTATGCAGGGTGGCCCATTCAGCACAGTGGCTGGTATCCAGAGGGGCCCTGCTAAATACAATTTCTAAAAATAT